CCAGCACTCGCTAGCGTTGATGAACCCACGGACATCGGCGCACTTCGGCAGGAGATCGCTGATCTCTCCCGCCAAGTGGCTGCATTGAGCACCGGACAGGACCGCCTCCATGCCCACTTCAAAAATCTCGACACCAAACCAAGAGACCGAGGCTCCAGCCCCAAGGGTTCCCACCCCGCCTTCAACATCCGACGGCCCGGCAGCAGATCCCCCTCCCGGGACGACGCCACATCCAGTGTCTGCTGGTACCACCGCCGCTTCGGCGCTCTGGCACAAAACTGTACTCCACCCTGCTCCTACCGCCAGCAGGGAAACTGACGCAGCAGACATCACCGGCGGCACATGTCTGCGCTACGATAACAGGCCTCCTCTTCATAACGGACAGAGTCAGCAAACGGCAGTTCCTAGTCGACACGGGTTCGGACCTCTGTGTATACCCCCGCAGGCTCGTCCATCGACGCATGGAGCGTACTAACTATGACCTGTGTGCGGCTAATGACACTACCATCCACACCTACGGATGGCTGCCTCTCAGCCTCAACTTGGGCCTACGCCGAGAATTCACGTGGCGCTTCGTGGTGGCCGACGTCCCGCATCCTATCATCGGCGTGGACTTCCTGTCGCATTTCGGTCTCCTGGTGGACTGTCGGAACAACCGCATCGTGGATGGGGTCACGACACTGTCAGCCCCGGCATCAGCGGCCAACGCACTGATCCCCAGTGTAAAGACCATCAGCAGCAACACTCCGATCGACAGCCTCCTCACAGAATTCCCGGACCTGACCCGCCCAGCTGGAGTCCAGCGTGAGATACGACACAACACCGTCCACCACATCAGGACTGTGCCTGGCCCACCAGTAACCTGCCGACCACGGCGACTGGCACCTGACCGACTCGCTATCGCCAAAGCCGAGTTCGACGCCATGTTGCGGGATGGTACAGCTCGTCAATCAGAAAGTTCATGGTCCTCGGCACTACATATTGTGCCCAAGAAAGACAACGGTTGGCGTCCTTGCGGCAACTATAGAGCACTAAACGCCCGGACAATCCCTGACCGCTACCCAGTCCCGCATATCCATGACTACTCACACCAGCTCCATGGCTGTACCATTTTCTCCAAAATCGACTTGGTACGAGCGTATAACCAAATTCCCGTCAATCCCGGTGACATACAGAAGACGGCCATCACCACTCCATTCGGCCTATTCGAGTTCCCCTTCATGTCCTTCGGCCTGCGCAACGCCGCACAGACCTTCCAACG